CCTCGCCCACCTGGTCAACTGCTTGGGCACTGACTAGATTTTTCTGTCCTCCAGTTCTCCTGGCTACTCCTTAGACCTTTTTGTTATAATAAAACATGTAGGAACTTTGGCAGATTCCAGGGCAGGTGAGGGTCAAACATGCCAGGCAGACAGAGCTTAAGTGAGAAGTTTTATTAGAAAGGGAAGGGAGGGGGGAAGGAAAGAGAAAAGAGGTAAAGAGATACAGAGACAGAGAGAGGTCAGAAGAGCAGAGGGAGACAGGAAAAGTTCTGTCTACCCCTTTAAGGGAACAGCTGGAAAGAGAGATGAAGTGGGTGGGAGTTTTTCTTTTTAAAGGGTCCTTTGCAGTATGCAGACTACGTAGTGATATAGTAGCCATGGAACCCTGGGCTGACCGGATACTGCCTGAGTGCATTCTGCCAGGTGACAGGGGACAGGTCAGCATAACGCCTGAATCGTTCCACCTTTAGCCTTCTCCTCCCTCTGTATGAGAACAGACACTCCCCTCCAGTTCCTCACCAATCTTCAGAGTTGAACTCAAATGTCTCCTCCAGTTCTCTAGATTGGATCTGTTAGCCTTTCAAAGTTCATAAGTCAACTCTAATCAGACAATCATGTCTACAGTGTTATATAAATGAGTCCTTTTTGCTCTAGGCTATCTAAGGGTAAACAATGATATGGTTTTGCCTGGATTCCCCGCACCTAGCACAGGGTTTGGGATAAGACAGAGTTCTGTAATCCTGGAGCCAGTGCCTGGGAAGAGCAAAGGCTGCCTGCCAATGGAAGCTGACCTGGCCTTGTGCGGCTTATCTCACATGGGCCAGCAAAGCAGCTTGTGACTCGGGGTAAGGAAGAGGGAGAGGCTTTGGGGAGATTAGATAAGAGTGACAGCCTTGATACACGATAAAGGACAACTAAAAAGTACTAAAATTCTATTTGAGATGAAAAGCAGAGGCTTTCAAGGGTGCCTAGTTAAAATAAGCTGATCCAATCAGCTAAGAAAGAAACACTTCAGAGAGGGACTGGCTCCGCTTATGGAGGGAGCAAGCAAAAGCACCTTGTCCCAAGTACTGCCATTTTGACTTCAGACCTCATTTTATCTACTAGGTGAAGGTTCCCAAGCCCTGGAGGAACTGAGAACTTTCCAACGGCTGTCCAACCTCCTCCTTAAACAATAGTAACAGTCTGTTATTCCCCTAGTCCTCTAAGACATTATGACTGTTCCTAACAAAAGAAAGAACAAATGAATCTGAAAAGCTTCCATTCTGCGTCTGTTGATAATGATGGAACACACAAGCAAAGTCCCTGGTCTGTGATTCCTGATTGGGGACATTATTAATTGTAACTTGGCAACGAATGTTTATGATTTTCATGCTTACAACCCCCACTTCTGACCCTGCTCGGGATTGCCAGGAAAAGCAAGACTCCTAAGTCTTTGTCCTGCAGAACCTTACCTATCAGCCACCCTGCTTATGTGGTAATTTATTAAAGCCCTTGGAACCCCTAAATGTTGTCTCTCTCCTTCCTTGTGGTGCACGACAGACTGGGTGTGACATTTGGAGCCTTGATGAACCTGGCCATGATTATAACTTCCCCTTTCCTGCCAAAGAATAGTTTAGCTTCATGTGTTTCCAAAAATCTGGTAATTCAAATACTATCTTATGGTCTCCTATTGACTTTAATCCTGACTCTCCAAGGTAGAAACAGGTGGATCTCTGTGAGTTTTAAATAGTGAGTTCTAGGCTAGCCAAGGCTACAAGTGAGATCCCATCTCAAGCAAACAACAAACAAATGTGCAGTATTATTTAAGAATAAGGAAGACCCTCAAGAGTGCTTCTGTCTGGCAAATCGGCAGCCCCGATCTATTGTTGACATGAAGAGATGTCCCTCTTGTCTTTTCTCTTTCTGTGTGTCATCCCTGGAGGATCTCATCCATTTCCACATTTCAACCATCTCTGTTAAGTCCTCCTGCATACTTCAGATGCTTCTGTTCTGGCTTGGCTCCCTCCCCACTCCTCTTCTCTTACAGGGCTTACCCCATCTCTGCCCCCCCCCCATCTGGAAACCTGAGGGAAGTTCTGGCTCCCACAGATACAACTGCACTTGGGAACTACTGCACCCAGGGGACATGCCGGGCCCAGGGCCAGATCCTCAAGGTCACATGTGAAGAGCAGGGGCCAGAGCCAGGGCAGCAACTATAAAAGCCTAGAATCTGTGGGTAAAGAGGGTTGCCTTTTGTGTGCTCTGACCACCACCCCCATATGTTAACTCCTACCCTTTGTTTCACATTTTTGTCTAAGCTAACAGTGGCTCCAGAGTTAGTTCAAGGAGGGTGAGATGCTTAGTGAGTATAAGTGCTTGCCGCTGTTAATCCAACTAGGTGAAAATAAGGCCACTATCACAGTTTTTTAGCCAAATTTAAAGCAAGCTTTATTAAATACTGGCCAAGACCATGGATACTGACCAGATGTATACCCAGGATTCCAAGAGTGTAACTCCAAATTACATTAGGCAAGGGCTTGTAAAGGCAAAACCCACAAGGCTACATACTTCCTGCCTTCATCCAGTCAGACACAAGCATATGTCCTGATGTATTTTCTGCCTAAGTACCTCCTGCTTTTGTGTGATCAAATGCAGCTGGTGCAACCAAGATGTTTACAGGAGTGGAAACAAGCAGGCTTGTATTTTACATGAGCAGCCCCAGCATTCCAGGAAGTTATCTATCCTTGGGCAAGCAGGGCTTACAGGTTAGATGTATTTTTGTTTTTATAGATCTCTTAAGCACAATAATTTAAAGTTAAGATGTAACTTTAGCCATCACACCACCAGACCTGACTGACCCACATGGAAGAAGTAGAGAGCCATCTCTTGCAAGTTGTCCCCTGACCTACACACACACACACACACACACACACACACACACACACACACACACACACACACACACCAAAGAAAGGCTGACTAGGGTAGTCTTATCTATCTTTTAGCTCCCAGAGACTGGTATAAGAAGTGGAAAGAGGAAGCGGGTGAACAGACAGACTTCTGTGTACCTTTGGTAACATGTTGGAAGCTTAAAATAAACTCTAGACAAACACCATTCTCTTCCAGAAACAGCCATACATTTTCATATTTAAATATTTTCTACATAAATAATTGCCACGCACTCCTATCTTTTATCCAGTTTTAATAGTAGGAATGGTAGATAAAATAGCCATGTTTAGTCATTGTGTCCTTGAGCCAAAATTCAAAGAAAATTCAAGTTTATAAAATTCCATTTAATCAGGCTTATTTGAAGTAACTTTAGCTCTGTGAAGTACAAAGGTCCCCTTTTTTCTAAATAACTTACCTTTTATTGAATGATCATTTTGATATGTTTTTAAAATAGTGGCAAATAATATAAAATTCCAGATAATTTAAGTTTACTTCAAAAATATGTGCTAGAATCAGTTCAGAAGTTTAAAACATCCAAATATGCTTATGAAAAGCTTAGAAAGTCTGTCTGCTTGTGAAAACTACAAATGTGTCAATCAGCTTTTTGTTATAGGAAATGCCCAAGACAGTCAACTCTGAAAGGGAAAAGTTTTATTTTTGACTCACAGTTTCAGAGTTTCAGTCCATGACAGCTCCATCTCACTGTGTCTAGGCCTTTAGTGAGAAAGCATATCACAGTTGGGAATGTGTGACTGAGCAAAACTGTCCTCTGCGTGCCAGGAAGGAAAAGAGAGAAGAAACCATACATGGTTTTGCCATGGCATGTTTCAGGCCTACAGATCTATCACTGGACCCTGCCTCTTAACGACCCACCTTTCACAATGGCACCTCAGGGGACCAAGCCTTTTTTAGCACAGGATCTTTTTTTTTTTTTTTTTTTTTTTTTTTTTTTTTTAACCCCATCTTTAAGGAACACTTACTATTGAGACTACACCAGGGAGCATAAGACCTGTGGACGCCTTCATTGTTTCTGCCTGTAGGTCATCTGCAGATCTAGAGGTGGCTGCCACCTTACTGTCTGTCCTTCAGCCCTCGGCTCGGAGACTGCACTATCTCAGGCATCTCCGTTGACCACTATTCTCTCTTCATGCTCTCACCTGAAAACCCATTATTCATTTGCTGCCTGTATTCCATTTGACCAATAGTGACACAAAGAAGACTTTATTTGACCTCTTGTTTATATTGCCTGGGTGCCCAGATCAGGGCCAGGGGTAGGGTGCACAGCACCTAAGGGATAACAGAACTGATGTCGATAACAGAAACACACCTGTTTCTCATTGGATGACTATTCTAAAAGTCAACTTCCACTCTGGATTCTCATATCCCTTTCCCAGCTCTGTCTCTGTGAGTGGATCTCAAACCATTAGCAGAGCAGTGCAATCATCAAAGCCTGAGATGATCTCTCCTTTTGAAGAATCTCTTAAGCACAATAATTTAAAGTTAAAATGTAACTTTAGCCATCACACCACCAGACCTGACTGACCCACATGGAAGAAGGAGAGAGCATATATACAGCAGCTCCACTGACATACCACAGTGCCCCCAAGAACATGATGCTGGTAATATTTTTAAAAGTTGTATTCATATGGGTGTTTCACCTGCATGTATATGTGTGCACTATATCATGTCTGGTGCCCTTAGAGATCAGAAGAGGGTACTGGATCCCCTGTACTGGAGTAACAGGCAGTTGGGAGCCACAATGCAGGTCCTGGAAATTGAACCTGGGTCCCCTGAAAGAGGAGAAATTGCTCTTAAGCACGAGTCATTTCTCCAGCCTCAAGAACATGGTTTATTTTATTTTATTTTGAAACATTGTCTCCCTATGTAGACCCGGCTGTGCTGCAACTCACTCTGTAGAGCAGGCTGGCCTCAGACCCACAGAATTCATCTGCCTCTGCCTCTGCCTCCTGAGTGCTGGGATTAAAGGCGTACACCACTATAACCCAGCAAGAGTATGGCTCTTGATATGGAAATGCTTGTGATGCTTCCACTGTATTTCTGTATTTCAGGTTGACCCCCAAGAGGGATGTGAAGTGAACTTGGTGTTTAGCACAGAGCGCTACAACCCGGAGGAGGTAAGCTGCCCTAATTAGTGGTGTAGCCTATTAGCAACGTCTATAAATACAGCCTTTAATGGGAAAATGGAGAATCTTAATAGGAGAACGAGTACCCACCACTGGCAGGCGGTAAGTGATGTGCCCTCAGGACAGTAGGAAAATAGCTTTTGAGTATGGTGTGAGAGGACAGGGTCTGGAGGAACTAGAATCTAGCCTGCCTGTAAGGCAGGAAGGATGTGGGGACTCCATTGAGGAATTACTTTTACAGTTACGGTGATTTTTTTTCTTAAGTCACTATGTTCAATTTTCATTTAAAATATTTTAATTTATTCCTTGAAAGTTCCATACATGTATGTGATGTGTTTTGATCTTCTCCACCCTCTAGTGCCTTTCTCCAATTCCCTCAACACCCACCAACCTATCTCCCTCCAGACTTCATGTTCCTTATTTTTACTATTGTAATTATTATTATTGGCACACAGAGTCTAAGTAGTGCTGACCACATACAGATGTGTGGGGGGTGTCACTTGGGCACAGGTAACCTACCAATGGCCACATCACCAGAGAAAAGTGAGTCTGCCTCCTCCAGCAGCAATCAGTTGCCAATAACTCCTCAGCTAGGCGTGGGGTCTTGGCAGGCCTTCCCCATTGCATGTGAGAATTTGACCGGCTTGACCCTGTGTGGGTCGTGAGTTGAGTCGATGCGTGCATCAGCTTTGTCATGGAAGGCAGCCTTTAACAAATGTTTTATGTGTATGAATGTTTTGCATGCATGCATGTATATGCCTGGTGCTCTTGGAGGCTAGAAGAAGACATTAGACTCCCCTAAAACTGGAGTTTCAGACAGTCATGCCATGTGAGTGCAGAGAATCAGAGCTGGGTCCTCTGAAAGAGCAGCCTGTGCTCTAATATTGCACACCTCTCTAGGACAAAGACCTTTGAATAGCTTTCATCCTCACCCTCTGGCTCTCACATTATTTCTGCGCACTCTTCTTTGATGTCTCCTGAGCCTTGGATGGGGAGGGTGACATAGATGTCCTATCTACTCATCTGTGGCTGAGCACTCACAGTCACTTATTCTCAGCACTCTGACCGGACATGAGACTCCATGCAAAAAGAAGCTTCCCTGACCAAAGCTGACAGTAACACAAATCTATAGGTATAAACATAACTAGTTACGAAGGCAGTATGACAATGTGACCATTTATCAAAACAGCATTCCAGGGCCTGTGATTTTTCTGTCATGAGCTTTTAACAAGGCTTATAGTACCAGGCATCATGAAATCACTCTCGGGGAGCAGACCTCAGGTTTTAGCAGAAGCTGATTGGTTACCTCTGTAAGCATCCGGTCACTATTTCACCAGTGGGCACAGCTTTGTTGGCAGGTCAGTGTTGTAGCTTGCAGGGTCCCATGCTCAATTAGGCTGTCCACTGCTCCCCCACCCCTCCAGCAGCTTGCAGAACACCTCCCAGTACTATGAAACCAGCCAGCAGGGAGAGCTTCTTGGTCAGTTTGAGACTGGCCTCCTGATGTCCTGCAATCATGGTTGAAGTCTTCAGTAATAGGATCCTAATATCCACTTAACATGTTTTGAGTACCTCTGGAGCCTCCCTGACCAGTGACTTGCAGGGAGGTTTCTTATGTTCAACTCTTAAATTTTCTTTAAATAACCCATTTCCTCTGGGAGATGGTGTTTGAGGGCCATTTCATGATGTGTAATTCCTGTCTTGTGAAGGCAGCCATTTCAGACTGGCAGGTGTACAGTTCTGGGAAGTTATTTGTGAGCCTCTTTGCATATAATTTCCAGTTGTGCAATCTCTGACATGTAAATGAGGGTCATGCAAATTAGAGAAATTCTGACTGATCACGTCTATTCTATCAAAGGCTCTGGTCACAGATATCGGGCTGCAGAGCTCTGTGGCAAAAGTTTGGAATTTTTGGACAATGCTTAGGGACCCCTTTTCTTATCTCTCATTAATGACTTCAACAATTACTGGTATCATAGGTCTTCCTTTAAAACCGTCCACATACCTGTCATTTCCCTCTTTCACAGCTCTCTTGGGTGTCCCTCCTCGCACTTCATAGTCCTTAGAATGACTCACTGTGAAATGCCAATATGTTCTTTTTCCTGTCAGCTGGTGACATTTCTACTTGGCAGGCTGGCACAGCATGAGGCCAATTCCGTATCAGGTTAGAGAACCACTTATACAGAGGCATTGCATAAAACCCTGAGCTGTGCCTGTGCATGCTACAGGCACTGTCTGCCTCCCTGCAGTTCCCACCATGCAGCTCATGATTTGCTGGGTTGTCTTCTATGTGGAAATTAGAAGCAGATGAATGTCCTTGTGTGGAATCAGACTGAGAGGCGACAACCAGAACATGGGTGGCAAGGCCAGCCCATATTGTCAGCAATGGTGGTCTGAGCCTCAGAAACCTGGGAATTGCAGGCTGTTATGCCCCACATCAAAGTGTCACACAGGGAGTCAGAGCTTCAGAGGAGAAGGCATGGCATCCCTCACCCAGTGCATGGCATCCCCCAACTCAGTGCCTCTGGAAGAAAGCTCACCAGGGTTCAGAAGCAAGTTCTAGCACAATACATGCAGACTTTGCTTATTAACCATAGAGTTAATTTTTCTGAAAGGATTAGGAAGATGCCTTTGATTTCTGGCTTTGCAAATTGGAAGCATTAAAGCTGAATGCTAATGATGACTGGGTTTTCCTCTGGATTTGATGGCCCATACTCTGAGTGCAGCTAGCTAACTGGAGTGAAGGTCAGACTTTCATCTTCACAGCACTGCTTCCACAAAGCTGTCTGATGGGAGGTACACAGAGGGGACATAAATACCCAGCTCTCTTCCTCTTCCCTGGAAATGGTTGACATCAAAAGAGGGTGGAGTGGGGTGTGCTTCTCTGATAGGAGTTTAAAGAGCCTTTCAGTTTTTCTATGCTGCACCAATCATTAGCATGCTAGCTAAATGCAGTCCAGAAACTCCTCCTCCCATACACAATAGACACTCCTAGAAAAAAGTTGCCCAATGGAAAGCTTGTTTCAGTTTGTTGAACTAGTTCTAGAAGTGGGCTTATTTTGAAGACAGAACTTTGATGATAATTTCTTTCACTGTGGACCTTTCGAGTTTATTTCTGGTTCTTGCCTCAAAACCAGGATGCTATTTACATCACTAAGAAGAAATGAAGGCTATTGCTTCAACTCTTTCACCAGCCATGTTTTGATAGAACATCCTGACTAGGAGCCTATGGCTTGGTTTGGGTGCAGCTGAGGCTAGTGACTGTGAACCCGTTCCATGTCTAATGCTGATGGTGTGAGCATGTGCATTTTTCTGGGGATAGGTCCTTGGCTTTAATGGTCAAGCTAAAGAACTTTGACCAAAATGGGGAACATTCACTATCCAAGAAGTCTTTGGATTTGAAACAAGTGAGGGTGGTCACAGAATCCACAGTCTGAGTGCAAGAATGGCTGAATTTGTCCTATCTGGATGATTGGGGTGTTTAATTTGGAAGAGATCTCAGAATGGGGAGGCAGAATTATTATAGCCTGGGTTAGTAGCTGAGCTCAGACAGGAACCAATTTGAGTCATGCAAGCTGAAGATGTGGAGTGGGTTCCTTTTTAGATGATAGCATTTTGGTCTACAGGAAAGGAGCTAATTCATGCCTGTACATGCTGGTATTTTTGTCAATAGGAACCAGCCTCAACTTCTGATTCTAGTTAATAATCATAATGTCCAAGTACCATTGTGTTAGTTCCAGATAGAGTGAACTAGCCACTATCCTCTAAGTGTGAGCCAAGAATGGCTCAACAGATAGCAATGCAATTTCTTTGCAAGAGGCTCGGCATTATTATGTAAAGACAAAGTCAGAAGGCAAAAAGCTGAAATGACAGAAAAATTAAAGGACTACTGCATTGCTGTGTCCTAGTTTCTTTTCTGTTGTGCTAAAATACTGAGAAAAGCAACAAGAGAAAAGGGATTTGCCTGTCTCTGGGTTCAAGGGCATGGTCCATCACAGTGGGAAGTCCTTCACAGTGGGAGTCACTCTACATCTACAATCAGAAAACAGGGATGATGACTATGTGGCCTTCTCAATTCCCTTTCTCCACTTACACAATCCAGGCTCACAGACACCCACAACAGGTAGACTGAATAATACAACCAAGATAACCCACCTTAAGCCATGAGCACAAAAGTCACCTCTGTTGATGCCAGCCTGCCACACTAGATGGATTATCAGTCTGTGTGTTTGTGAGAATTGCAGTGGGCATAGTTGATAAGGAACCTTCTTGGGTAACTTCAAAACTTTTATTTCAGGAAGACGAAGAACATCTGGGCAAATGTTCTGCAAGGGTATTTTTCAAGAATCAAAAACCCAAACCAGCCATTAATGTCACCTGCATGGGGCTCACTGAGAAAATGAAGAGACAAGCAAGAGATTATCTGCTTTACAAGCAACTGAAGCAATTGAAGAATCCTCTGGACGTCATCCGCATACCTGGTATGAATCTGTAACTGGGAGCCCTATATTCGGGAATATATATATAGTTGCTAAACCTTAAAGAGATTGATATGTCTGGAGAGGCGCCAAAGTTCAGCTGTGGGTTGGGCTGTATCTCATTATTTAAGTAAGGCTCATAGGTGTCATTTTCTATTCATATCTACAGTATACTAAAGCTACCAAAAGCCAAGTCCCTTTAGTTGACCATTTATTTGTAGGGCAAAACAAAAATGAAGAGCAGAGATTAGAGTGCAGATTGCAGGAAAGTCTAGAAATTAGAGTTTTTTTGTTGCTAACCCTGGGAGGTTTAGCTAACAAGATACTCCATGTCTGTGCTCAGTCTCTCTGCCCCAGGGCTGGCTGAGTGACTGCCTCGGCCATTTTGGGCTGCTGCAGTGGGGTCATGTTTATCTCATTTCAGGTCAGTGGCTAATGGGCAGTGGAGCCGTCTCCAAGAGATGTGCCCTGCCCTTTGCAGTGACTCAGCTGGAGTGCAGCACAGCTCATTTGTCTTGGCACTCAACAGAGTGTGTGGGCGCAGTAGACATTCAGCACTTACTGGCAAATCCAATTTCCCAAACCACAGAAGTCATCTCTGGACTTGCACTTGGGCATGAGCGTGACATCTGACCACTCTGGCACTCTCCTTCCCACACTCTCTCACTTTGCTCATTGGCCCAGATACCCGGCAAGTCCTCACCAACACCTGAGAACCTCAAACTCCATTTCTCACTGCATCTGCCCCCACTTACTAAACATTTGCACTTCTAATATCATGGCCTCCAATGATTCTCACCTAAGGCTTCATTGACAAAAACCAAATCTTAAGCCAAAGAACTATGAGAATTCAGAAAATTGTTGAAGACATTCATGCTGCTTGGAAGAAGTGAATTAACTAATGACTAATATTTAAAAGTCGACAGTTGCATGGGGATCTTGTTTCCACTTTAGTTTTATAAATAGGGCTCATTTGCTCCATAAAAGAGATTTGTTTTTAATTATGTGTGTGTGTGAGTTCACATGTACACGAATGTGTGTGCACTCATGTACACATGTGAGAGCATGTGCCCATGGAGTTCAGAAGAGGGCATCGGCTCCCCAGAGCCAGAGATACAGGAGGAGGGATGCTGCTTGATGTGGGTCTTCTTCAAGAACAGTACATGCTCTTAACCGCTGACATTGGAGAGAACTTTTCCCAGGAATATTTGCCACAGTATCATTAGCTTTGGGATATTTTTCAGTAGAACCATTCAACTGAATTCTGTTCATTTACCAAGTCCTATGTACTCATAGGGGCCATTCTACAGTCTGCCTAATTATGGCTACTGTAAAACATCCAAAAGTCTTGGGGCTTTAAAGATGTAGAAAAGCATTTGCTGCACAATCAGGAGGAACAGAGTTTGGAGCCCATCACCCATATAGGAAGCCAGGCATCCCACAAACACCTGTTAATTTCAGCTCCCAAGGACACGGCACCTCTTCTGACCTCTGTATATATACCAGAACACAAACATGTGCATATACAAACACAGATACATACATGTTCTCATGTACACACAAATACAAACATAATTCAGTCGTAGTGGTGGCTCTGCTCTGACTGTAAGTTCAGCAGACACTGAGTGGTGCTGACTGTTCATGTATGCAAAGCTATCTGCTTAGGATCTAAAGGCTTGGTTTACTACACAGATACACCACAAATTAGTCTGAGTGTGACCAGAGACATTTGTGCTGAAAGTTCACAGATCTCTAAGGTGAGCTGCATTTTAATGGACTCATTGTTTCATAGTATCAAGAGGATAGTCCTGTTTCACTGAATGAGTGCAGGATAAAACTTGTTGAGGTAGTTGCCCTAAATTCTTAGAAAGTACTAATTATCACTA